TTTTGTCTGGTGGCTTGATTGTTTGCTGCTAAAAGAAGAAGGCCCATCAGCCTTTTGCAGCGTTAGGTGATTGCTTGAGGTGTTTCTTGTTGTTACGGAGTTTGCGGGGTTTTAGCGCAGGTGGCCGGCTTCCATTTGGATGATTGTATTGAATACTTTACTGCCCCTTGTTGGCGCCCCTTGCCCCCTTTAGACTCCTACCGAAGTTTTCAGCCCGGACAGAAGATGAATCATGATCTTTCAGTCAATCCCGTTATTAATTAATAGTATAAATTTAAAACGGGATGGAGTAAGAATCTGCTTAGGGAAAGATGTGGGAAGGTGAAGTATTGAAGGCGTTCTTACTCCGTCATCGTTTCGATATCGTGTCAATTACATTGAGTAATTGAATTGCAACATAGCACGGAGTAGCGCGGAGTAGCGCGGAGTAGCGAAGGATTGGTGTATACATCAGGAGGAGGAAAGTATTTTCCCGTTTAGCGTCTTATAAGCATCATGACCCTCAGCCGCGGATTAATTATCCTCATTTCGCGTGGCCTGCGTGGCGGATCGTATTGCAAGTCGGAATAAAGTAATTTTTTTTAAAAGCAAACCAGCTCATCCGCGATCCGCCATGTGATTCATATGAGACCTGTCAGGAATCTAAGGGAGAGGGTTGCTGCAGCTAGTCAAGAGGAAAAACTTTTGTCCTGGTGTTGTATGTTGCCTGGGTCGTGCTGCATCGCAATCGCCACATTGGAGCCAGTGAACGGAGACAGCTGATACCACATGTGCGCTTTCAGGTTCCATTTTTGGGGCCCGAAAGTCAATTGAAATCAGGCTTCGCATGTGCGGGCCTCCTCTGTTCCAAATCTATATGCTTTTTGCTTAAATAAACGCAGTTGTATTTTTGTTCGGACGGGTCGGCCTTTGCTGTTGATTTTGCGATTTTGCGGTCTCATTTTTGGTACCGCCAGACGGTCCCAAAAATGGGACCGTGAAAATGCTTTTCTTTTGTTCTTTTACTAAGCTGTGCATGCGGTCCCAAAAATGGGACCGCCAGGCGGTCCCATTTTTGGGACCGTGTTTAGGTTCATTTTTGTAAAGTTTTTTGCATCAGGGTTGAAGAAGCGCAATGTTTTGGTGTCAACAGAAACTTTGTGGCTTATGGCGACCAGAAAGGCAACTGTAGTGACGTTGAAGTGGAGCCAATTCCAACAAGAGCATTTTTGCGAAATGGCAGGCATGGCTGAAGTCCTCCCGAAGAAATTCCAGAAGAGCGTGGCGAAATTGCGGATGAAATGACATGCAGAAGGTGAAACAGTTCCTACGAGTTCGCCTCCAGGAGAAAGCACTTCTTGTGGATTTAGCTGGATTGATGAGATGAATGAGACTGCGTCAGAGCGATATCAGCAGTATGTGCAATCAGCGCAGTGCGAAGTGTCAGATCCTGAAGAATGGGCCGACATTCACTATGGTCCTGCTACATCAGTGTCAAGAAGATCGAGATCAAGGGAAACTACTCCTGTGCCTACACCGAGATCTACGCCTAAACCTTTGGCACAACAGCGTGATCGTCGTTTAGCAGATGAGCAGAGGCAATGGTTCGTCAAACGGAAGAAAAAAGTGCACGACGTGGAACTACATTGAGCAGTTCTTCAACAAGTGGATCGAAAGGTGAAAAAGGTGCGAAAGGAAGAACAACTCCTTAACCGGATGATGATTTGAACTAGGTGATGGCTTCTTAGGGCGTTGCCAGTTACTTTGACATTTGTCCTGTTCCTCGAGACGAAACAGCATTGGAAGACTATAGATGGGACCTTATTATGCAAGGTCTTGGTCCGGAAACTATCCTTGTTCACAACTCTCGTGACCTTTCCCATTTCATTTATACATACAACAATCCAATGCATTGTGCGCCTCTGCAGAGGCTACGTCAAAACCTACAAACTTTGCTGGTGATATTCCAAAGCAACTCTCCGCAGCTTTGGGTCGATGCAGCTGAAAGCGTGCGTGGATGGATTGATCTGACCGTGATGGTACTACTTCACGGAGGGTTCTATGCATCATGGCACAGACGAAGGTGAAAGCGAAGAAGAATCAGATGGTGATGCAGACAGTCCCATGGATCCCCAAGACAGACTTCCAATTCCATGGGATGATGGCAGCGATAGTGGCCGACATGGTGGAGGCGCTGGTGGACCTTCATCAAGTGCGAGGCCTACTGAGGCATGAAAATGAGAGGCATGGTGCAAAGAAACACTTAAAACAGAGACAAGAAGGACTAAGTAGAGTCCTGCGGTGTGCAAAGATATGGTGCAGGAATTCCTAAGCGGAAATCCCTAAGGGGGTGTGAAAACATAGTAGCACGTGCACATCATGTTCAATATGCAACATGAACATGTCCATCACTGCCATGCACACTGGCTGAGATAACTGGAAAAGGATAGCTGGCTGGCTGCTTTCAGAGTTTGTTTGCACCATTCCGGTTGGCAGCGGTGAACACACATACACCGCAACAACAAACGCAACAACAAACTGCAGCAACTGTAGCATTGGCGTCTTAACGTGCCAGGTGATTGTGGGGTTTGGAAGAGTTTACTGCAAAACGAATTGCATCATAGGTAGTGTCATGCGAGGTTTGTTTCTAAAATTGAGCGTTGTTTCAGTGACACATTTCAAAAGTCGAACGGATTTCGTCGCATGTGATTGTTTGGCAATTGTCCGTTTGTATTTGTGGTTTGTTCTTTCATGTTCTTTCCATTTCATTTTGGGATGGTGTATCCGCGCCCCCCTGCGTGAGTCGCAGGTTTCGCAAGGAAAAGGCACATTGGTAATATTTTGGTTTGTGAAATGGAAACAAAAAACCATGGACCCAATCAAAAAACATTGGCTTGGGCATGACGAAAAGTGAGATTTCGGAACACGTTTGTGATGTTTTTAGAGTGTTTGAGCTATAGTTGCTGCCAAGGCCAGGTTGTATTTGCAAATTCGAACACGAAAAACTCCACCTTTTTTGGCCCCAAAACGTTGCTTGTCATTCGTGAATTTACGTTTCAGTTTGCGCCTGAGGTGTAAACCAATTTGTTTGAATTCAGTTGTTTTGCATGTTTGCAGTTGCTGCAACCACCAACTTAATATTTCCTGTCAACATTTTCTCACACATTCAATGCAAACTGCCCATTGATCGTGCCATTGGGAGAGATTTGTCGCACATATTCATTTTTGTCATAATGCTGCGAAGTTCGGGTACTCGACTTTGCATTTGGATCGCACCATATACCACATCCAACCACACATTCAAAATATAGTCTATCGGACGATGATTTCAATCACGCAAAAAAATAAAGGCACAGTGATTTCAGACATATTGTGTAATTTTTTAACTTCCAAATTGTTTGTGGGGGCATGCAGCGGTCCCGTCGTCATGTTGGATCTTGGTATCGCTACTGGAACAGGCTTGTGGATAGAACTCTAGCATTGACTCGAGAAACGAAACCTGATGAAAACCACATCAGATCGAAACATCAAGAACATTTTTGTTGGGTTGCCGATGTTCACTGGCGAAAAACGTTTTTGTTTGTCGAAAACATTGAAACACAAACAAAAATGAGTGGGTATATGATGATGTGATGGATTGTTGTTGAATGCTTCAATTTTATCAACAATGAAGTGACAAATCTTACCAAATATATTGGGAATTTCTTGGTTTGCTGATATGTATGATATCAGCCTTTGTCCAAAAATGGGGTGTATTTTGTCTTTAGACAAAACAGTGCATCAAACAGGTCATTTGTTGGACATGAAAACAAAAATGCCATTGTAGCATCCCAAGACCAGCAACCAGGCGTATTGTTGAAGTAGCAAACGTGAGTGGGTTTTGGGTTCCCAACATCCGACATTATTGAAATCTTGAGATAGTTCTTGAATATCCATCAGATGTTGTATGTATGATACAGAACCCCATCAGTTGTCCAGACATATCATTGTCAGTTTTTTACTTGTCAATTTCCGAATATGGCAGACGCGATATCCCCTCCGATTTGGATCCGTCCAGGAGTCCAAATCCCAAAGCTGCAAGGCTGGATCGTCCACATTGCCGGTGTCAAGGCACACGGGCAATGGCCGCAATTCATGTGTAATGCCGGCGACCTGGGCCCAATTGGTTCCCATTTGATTTATCTCTAGTTTTGAGACTTTTGGTATGGGAAATGTTATTTTAATCGTGTTTCATTCTGTTACCACTTGTTCTATTTTCAATCAATTTTCAATCAATTGTTCGAGAGTCGCTTGCGTCCAAGACATTTTGACCATGGCCTGGGAGGAAATTCGGGAACTCCGCAGGCAAAAACATGGATAATGAAACGGACATACACATGACATTGATATTGAACTAGGAGTGAGGGAACTGGACATGGTGAATGCAACGCAATTTAAGTATGAACGATGTCAAGCAACAGAGCCGGGGAACCCAACAATACATGGACTGTTCGACGTTGAGGTGCGAGTCGTTTGCGTTAGCCAGTCTAATTTTTTTAATTCCCAAGTAGGTCAACCCAGATGGCAACCCAGACTTCATACATATATACCGTAGATCACACTGGGGGAAGGCCATGTTCAAGATTGAATACATTCAGAAAACATTTGTAAGTACGATCCTTGTTTTTTTGATTGAAATCACGAAACTACACTTATTATTTGATTTGTTGGATGTTTCCGGAAATGAAGGTTTGAAATAAAATCCTTATTTCCCTTAAGTAAAATAAAGACAAAACACATGTTATTTGCACTGTTCGATGCAGCCGAAAATGAAAGAAGGGAAATAAGATTCTAATTTCCTCTCATACAAGCAGAGAGAAACCACGTAATATGTGCACTACTAGGCGATGTTTCCGAAAATGGAAGAAGGGAAGTAAGACCCTGGTTTCCCCAATTTATGCCAAAAGAGTACTCAAGTTCCCATTTCGTAGCGATCTCTGCCCGGGGCCCCTGGGGGCTGCTGCTGTGTGACTGCGCCGGTGATGTGCCGTCGGTCCCACGTCTCAGGACCTCTGGTGCACTGCCTCCGGGTGCACTGCCTCCAGGGGGCGCATGGCCCCCTCTCCCGGAGTTCTCCTCTCCGTCGTGGGCCTCTTGCTCACCGGGCCGGGCTGGACAGACAACGAAGCCGCTTGGGCGCCCCGGGCCCCTGCGCATGTGGGCGGGGCGGGTGCTTGGATCTCCTGCTTGGAAACGGCCTCTCCGCCGAACTTGGGGCTACCGTGGTGTTCGGGTGGGTGAGGCCCGGTATCCTGGCCCTCCTGCACCCGGCTCACCGCTTCATCCGGCCATCCAACGTTGCCGCGCACACAGCCCTGACAGTGGCGGCGACAGGCACCCTCTCCGACGCCGGGTTGCCGAGCCAGGGGTCGCTGTCCGCTGCTTTTGCCCTGTTCCCGGCTGCGGCCACGGAGATGCTATGCGGGCTGCTGGCTGGGCCTCCCACGAAGGCATGCGTCACCACTTGGATGACCACTGCTCCGGCAGAATATCTCCAGCCCCACCGGCTTGACTTGTGCTCGGTCTGCGGGCTCCTTGTTGGCCGCCGATACAACGGCGTCCACCCCAGATGCAGGCCGCACAGCCGCCACCACGTTGCAAATCACGGCCACGCATCGGCCCAGGACCCAGGCCTCCCCAGTTTCAGCACCATCATGGGCCACACCGCGCCCACGTTGCGACATGTCCCCCATGTCGCCCGGGCGGCCTGGGCCCAATGCCTTGCTCGTGCCGTGGCTGCGGCGGCTACTACCAACACAGGGCCTGCCTGGCAAGAGTTGCTTATGCTGCCTAAAGCTGTTCTTGCAGCTCCTCTGCGAGGCGGCGGACGGCACCACAAGCAAGCGGCGCTCTCCACACTCAGACGTTGCCAGCGGTGGCTGGCTGGCGAACGCATGGAGCTGTGGGATGAGTTAGTGCAGCCCCGGCCGTCACGCGCCAGAGCTGATGGCGTGGAATTGGCTGCCCAGCATACATGCTGCTGCGCACTGGCGGCAGAAGGCGAATTGTCTCGAGCATGCGCTGCTTTGACGGAGCCTCCGCCACTGCCACCTTCACGGGCAACATTGGAAGCTTTAGCCGCCCAACACCCCCAGGCTGCTCCTCCGGACGTGGCTCAGCTTGGGCTGGCCCGCCCGGCCGCAGTGCCTGAAGTGACCAAAGAGAACGTTGTCCGGGGAGTGCGCAGCTTTTCCCGAGCTTCGGCTCCTGGACCCTCCGGCCTCCGGGCAGACCATCTGAAGGAAACGCTGTCCACCGCTCACGGCGATGAGGTGGCTTCCCACCTGGTTGCTTTGTGTCAGCTGCTAGCGCGTGGAGAGGCGCCTGCGCTTGTGGCCCCCCACTTAGCCGGCGCACGCCTTCACGCCCTCCCCAAGAAACAGGGCGGCGTACGCCCCATTGCAGTTGGCGAGACTCTGCGTCGCTTGGTGAGCAAGGTGCTTTGCCAAGCTGTGCGGGAGGACGCTGTCAACCACTTTTGGCCCTTGCAGGTTGGGGTCGGGGCACGCATGGGCGGGGAAGCCGCTGTCCATGCCACTCGCCAATGGGTGGATCGTAACCAAGCCGATGTGAATAAGGTGCTGCTCAAAGTGGACTTCAAGAATGCCTTCAACTCCGTTGACCGGTTGGCCATCTTGTCTGAGACTCGAGCAGCTTTTCCCGGCTTAGCCTGTTGGGCTGATTGGTGCTATACCAGCTCTTCTGCCTTGCTCTTTGGGGAGCACACCCTGCAATCTTCACAAGGTGTTCAACAAGGCGACCCCCTCGGACCCTTGCTGTTCTCAGCCGCTTTGCAACCTGCCCTCCGGCAAGCAGCCCAGTGCCCGGTCGAGCTTTGTTTTTCCTATCTGGATGACGTTGTGATCGCTGGACGGGCCGATGTGGTCGCTTCCTCTCTGGCTGCCCTCCAAACTACAGCTGCGGCTGCGGGCCTGGTGCTGGAACCAACCAAATGTGAATTGGTTGCTGTTGCCGGAAACAGGTCGGCCGTTGACTTTTCCTTGTTCCCGGCCGGGTTTGCTGTGAAAGGAGCAGCTTTCGACCTCCTTGGGGCCCCTATTGGAGACAGTGAGTACTGCACCCAAGCCACTCTTTCCGACAAGGTGCAGAAAGCTGGGAAGGTTTTGGACGCGTTGGGCGAGCTTGACAACCCACAAGTCAGTTTGCAATTGCTGCGGCACTGCGCGTCCTTCACCGAGCTTGTGCACAACATGCGCACCACCCCCGCTGGGCTCCACAGTGCAGCACTCGTAGCCTTTGATGGAAAAGTGCGCGCCTGCCTCGAATCCATTGGCTGCTTCCCAGTTCCAGACCGGATCTGGCAACAAGCGACTTTGGGCGTTAAGCACGGCGGGCTGGGCCTTCGACAATGCGCCGTTCATGCTACAGCTGCTTACCTTGCTTCTGTGGCTACCACGCAAGAAGCATGTCGAGGTTTAGATGGGCGGTACAACCCGGACTGGCCAACTTCCTCTGCGACTGCTGCAACCTACAAGGCAGTTGTCCTGGAAGCGGATCGCTTCCGTGGTGACCAAGCCCATCGCCAGCAAGCCCTCTCAGCTGCTTTAGACAAAGCGCAACTGGCGCAGCTGCTGGTGACTGCAGAGGACGCCAGTGGCCGAGCCCACCTTCAACTACTCCAGCAGCCGGCAGCGGGGGCATGGCTGTTGGCCCGCCCATCTCCGGCCCTTGGCCTTGACTTGGACCCTGCCTTTTTTCGGGTACTGCTCCGTTTCCGGCTCCGTATTCCTGTTGCAAGCTCTGATGGCTATTGCCCCTTGTGCGACGGGATCGCGGACCGCTTTGGAGATCACGCACGGGCTTGCCCGTGCGGTGGGGACCGTACAAAACGTCACAACCGCCTTCGAACAGTTTTGGCTGCCAAAGCCACTGCTGCTGGGCTCAGCCCAGAGGTTGAAAAGATGGGGCTTTTGCCGGAACGACCCGAGGAACTTGGAGCCAGTGAGGTCGGCCGGCCCTCCGTTTCCCAGAGAAGACCTGCAGATGTGTACTTACCCAACTGGGGGGCCTATGGACCTGCCGCCATGGACCTTGCAGCCACCAGTGGCATGCGGGGCTCAGTGTTGGCCACCTCTGCTGGCGACGGGGCTTCGGCAGCTGCAAACTACGAGATCCGAAAAAAGATCCACCACAATACTGCCCAGCTGTGTGCTGGACAAGGCTTACAGTTCATCCCGCTGGTGGTTGAAGCCTGCGGCGGCGGGTGGGGCCCGACCGCCGTTGCCACCTTCCGAAAACTGGGCGCTTTGCACGCTTCTCGACTTGGGATGTCTGCGAGTGATGGGGCCGAACAACTTTTCCAAGCTTTGTCTGTTGCCCTGCAACGTGAGAACGCGCGGGCCGTCCTCCGACGGCTCGCTGAGTCCTCTGACAGTGTGCCATCCTTGGCCGAGCCTTGACCTTTTCGGCTTTGACATTTGGTTTCTCATCACACCCCAAAGCCCGGAGAGCCATAGAGACCAATGACGATGATGCGGCCTGCCGGTTTCACATTGGCGTGATTTTCTCCCGTTCCGCTTCGTGATTAGAACCCTTCCACCTTAGCTCGGGTCTTTTTTGGCAGGGCAGCCAGCTTCCCCTCGTCAAACGTCGTGTTGTCTGGTTGGTTGGCCTTCTGCCTCTTACTCCTGGCTTTGCTACCATAGCAACTGTCAGTTTTCTTTTCCCCCTCTGCACGTTCATTGCAGTGCCTCGGGGCTCCCATTTTGGAAGTACCAATTGGGTACTTCAGAGAGACTTGCAGTTAGAGATCACAGCTCCATGTCTGAGATGTGGATGTGGTTGGCAGAGTGGCAACGACCCTTGCAGTTAATTGAGTTGGATGATCAGGACCCTGATAGCTTATGCCAAAAAAAAACAAATATTATTTGATTTCCTGGATGCTTCCAGAAATGAAGGAATGAAAATAAGATCCTGATTTCCCTTGATATAAGAAAAAAACACATATTATTCGAACTACCCCCTGTGTCAGGAATTGAATGAAGGGAAGAACGACCCTGATTTCCCCTAATATCAGTGAAAAAAAACACATATGATTTGGACTACTCCGATGCTTCGGAAAATGAAAGAAGGCAAATAAGATCCTTATTTCCCCTAATAAAAGTCAACAATAGACATGCTGTTTGAACTACGTAACTGTGTGTAACTACTCCATGTTTCGGGAAAGAAGGGAAATAAGATCCTAATTTCCCCCAAAAGTCACGAAGCGACATATCATTGTTTGAACTACTCCATGTTACGGGAAAGAAACAAATAAGACCCTTATTTTCTTGAAAATAGGAAGAGGAAAAACGCATATTATTTGAACTACTCGATGCTTCCGGGAATTGAAAGAAGGGAAATAAGATCCTTATCATATAAGAAGAAGAAACCGGATGACGGAAAGCGTTTCCAACGCTTGGATGTTTTTCCGGTAGGTGAAAAGGGGGGGGGTGTGGGGGGAGGGCGGTACAGATTTGCAGATTTTGGGGTTCTAAATGGGTGTTGAGGAGGTGCAAAAAACACTGTAAATTACAGTAAAATTTGCTCTTTGGGGAGAATTGCAAGGAGTCAAGTTGCTGCAAAAAGTGTGTTTTACCTGCACGAGAGCCAAATTTTGTCCTTTTTGTTGTTTCGAGGGAGGCCCTGGGGGGGTGGTACAGATGACGGAAAGCGTTCAGTAAAAAAAAAAATCAAGGAGTCAAGTTGCTGCAAAAAGTGTGTTTTACCTGCACGAGAGCCAAATTTTGTCATTTTTGTTGTTTCGAGGGAGGCGGACCTAAAACGTGCTACGTGTAAAAAACACTGCAAATACCGTGAAAAACTGGCTTGGAAACATGTTGTCATACAACTTTTGCACTTTGATGTCGTTCTACATAGTCCCAAGACGGCGCAACATAGCCCCAAGATAGGCCAACACAGAGCCAAGATGGCCCAACATAGAACCCAGGAACGCCCAACATAGTCCCAAGATGGGCCAACATAGGCCCAAGACGACCCAAAAAAACCCAACATAGTCCCAAGATAGCCCCAAGATAGGCCAACACAGGGCCAAGATGGCCCAACATAGAACCCAGGTAGGCCCAACATAGTCCCGAGATGGGCCAACATAGGCCCAAGACGACCCAACAAAACCCAACATAGTCCCAAGATGGTCCAACATAAACCTAAAATAAAGTGAACATAGGCCCAAAGCAACCCCGGGGAGGCAACATAGTCCCAAGATGGGCCAAAGACAACCCAACAAAACCCAACATAGGCCCAAGACAACTCAACAAAACCCAACATAGTCCCAAGATGGGCCAACATAAGCCCAAAATAAAGTGAACATAGGCCCAAAGCAACCCAACAGTAGCTGCAACAAATAAGTTTTCACGTGTGTTTGGCTATATTAGTTTTCCTCCTCTAAAAAGGGGGGAGTGGGGGGGACGGTATA